TTTAACACAGGTCACATTTCAGCTAGGTCTCTATCGAGAAAAAAAAAATCAGCTCGCGTGCACTTCAGTTTGAAAATTTGCTCATACGAAGAACAAAGGCGGATTGGAGAGGGGTGTGTGCGGATGGGGGGGGGGGGGGGGGGCTCAGACTATGAACAACACAAATTTTTGGGGGGGTACATTTATCACTAAGCCACTTATAATTTTGGTTGTGGATCAAATATTATAGAGCCCTTACCCCATTGTTTTTTTTTTTTTTTTTTGGGGGGGGGGGGGCTCAGATATCATTGTGTCTACCATATTTTTGTTGGGAATCGACTATCATTGAGCTCCTCTCTCCTCCGAAGATATTTTAACAAAAGTCAAATTTCAATTCTCTTTCAAGGAAAAAATTTCCATCCGCGTTATGAGTTCCACAAAATATTGGGGGGGGGGGGGGGGCTCAGAAATAATTTCTTATCCAAATTTTAAAAAAATCATCTCGCATGACTTCATTTTTTTTTCTTTCTTTCTTTGTGGGTGGAGTTCAGATATCATTGAGCCCATCATATTTTGGGTGGGGCTCGGATTGAGCCCCCCCCCCCCCCCTCCTAATTTATTTTAACACAGGTCAAATTTCGGGTCTTTATCGGGCAAAAAAAAAATCGTGCCCATGTTATGCATTCTAATATATCAGGGGCAGGGTTTTTTTTTAGTAGGAACAAACTAAGACGGATTTGGGGTTAAGCCTGCCCCTTCTATCTTTCAGAGGGGTGTGTGCGAGGGGGGGGGGGGGTGGCTCAGACATTAATTGAACAACCACCAATTTTTTTTGGTGGGGGACAGTTATCTCTAAGCCACTTATAATTTTGGTGTGGCTCAAATATTACTGAGCCCTCTCCAATTTTTTTTTTTTTGAGGGGGGGGGGGGGCTCAGATATCATTGTGTCTACCATATTTTTGTTGGGAATCGATTATCATTGAGCTCCTCTCTCGATCCTCCCAAAAAAGGATAACATTTCCACCCGTGTGATGAGTTCCCCCAAAATATTGGGGGGGGGGGGGGGAGCTCAGATATCATTTTTTTATCAAAAACACAACAAAAAAAAACAGCTCGCATGACTTCATTTCGATTTTTTTTTTTTTTTTTTTTTTTGGGGGGGGGGGGGGGTGGTTTTTACGGTGGAGTTTAGATATCACTGAGCCTAGCTATTTTGGATGGGTCTCGGATTGAGCACCCCCCCCCCTCCTCATTAATATATTTTAACACGGGTCAATTTTAGGTCTTCAGGGGAAAAAAAATGAAGCCCGCATATGCATTCAAATATATCAGGGGCAGATTTAAAGGAGATTATAAGAAAATGAATTTAACGAATGGGCTCCAAAATTAAATTATAAAAAGTGTTGGAAGTGAAGGTTTAACTAACATGTTTGTTGTTGCTTAGACCTATTCTTACAGTGACGAATCCATGCAGGGGGCGCAAGAGGGCGCAAGCCCCTCCTTTCTTTCTTGTTGTTGAGAATCACACATTGAACATACTAAGAAAATTTCCTTCTGCGCCCCCTCTTTACTCAAATTTGCCGTCTGCACCCCCTCTATTTCCAAATCCTGGATCCACCGCTGTTCTTTTAAAATGAGGGATCAACGGCCAACAAAGTTTTTAAAATTATGATTTTTGCTTTGAAATCAGCCTCTGTTACTCCGCCTTGATGGTGTGTGTTTGTTCTCGAGGGGGGGGGGGGGGTGTAAAGTGTTGTACACTAATTATGATTTATAATAAGAGTCTTCTTGAGGCTGGATTTTATAGAACTCAAATATGAACAACTTGTTATATTTATTAGATGTATGTGAAGCCGCATTACAATCTGCGGTAGCAATAATCATGGGCATATGATATAGGTCATTTGTTGAACATACATGTAGATATAAAATGATATCATATCACAATCCCTCTTCTCAATGAAAACTTAATTTCATATTTAGATCCATACTGTTTAAAATATCTTTTTAAAATTCTTTGCTTAAGAAATTAAACTTGTGCTAATATGAACTTACAATTTCGTCCCTTTCTTTGTTTGTTTGTTGTTTTTTTTTTCACCAAAAAACAATTTGAAATTCTATCACATCTAAAATGTTTTGATCAGACTTCAGTTATCATCTTGCTTTATAATGCAATAAAACTTAATTAATAAACAAAACATGACATATTCAATATGTCTCTTTAAATCTAACTACTCAAAACCTTGTAAACATTGTTAAAGAAAGCAAAAGACAACAATTATTTGAATTATCTCCAACCATATCAATATTTTACATATCGTATCTCCAACCATATCAATATTTTACATATCGTATCTCTCTGGTTTCTTAATAGTACGACCTGATCTGGTGGTGTATGGTTGGTGGTGATTCGATGGTGTGTCTGGTTTGCTTTGTGTTTGTTCTGTTTGTGCATTCTGCTGGTCGTGTACATCATTATGTCTATCACTAGCATGTTGACGGTTTTGTTCCATGCTGTCCCTCTCTTGGGTTGGTTTGATGTGCCTACGATTTCGTCGCAGAGTGTAACCTGATGATGTCTCTACTTCATATGACCTGGTTCTGGTCTCCTGTTTGTGATCTTCCTCTGTCCCATCTACCAGTCTCTTGATTTTGGATTCTGACTTCTTGTCCTTTGTGTAGTGGGGGAAGGTTGGTAGCGTGCTTGTCGTCAAAGTATTTCTTCTGGTCATCCTGCCTGGTCTGTAGTCTCTGGTAGATGTCATCCTTTTGGGGTGATGGTTCCGAATTCTGGTCGGTATGTTGGTTTGGATCTTCCTCCCCAGTAACAGCTCTGCTGGAGATGGTAGATGGCTGTCCAATGGAGTGGCTCTCAGGCATTGCAATGCCTTGTTGACGCCTATGTTATCTCTCTTAGCTTTCTTCATGGTGTTCTTGACAGTTTGTACTTGCCTCTCTATAAATCCATTGGATTGTGGATATCTCGGGCTTGAGGTTACATGTTGAAATTCCAGTCTCTGGCAAACTCTACGAATATGGCACTATTGTATTGAGGTCCATTGTCGCTCATTAGTCTCTCGGGGTTCCTTGTTCAGAGAAGATTTCCTTAAGCAGTCTGATGACAGCACTACTTGTTGCTTGCTGTGGTAACTGCTTTACAATTGGATACTTTGAGTATACGTCAGCAACAAGAAGGTACTCTCTTCCATCAAGTGTGAAGAGGTCAGTTGTGACAAATTGCCAAGGTCTGACAGGAATTTCATGTGGCTGCAGAGTCTCTGATGGCAGGGAGTTCCCATATTCTTGACATACAGAACATTTCCGTACCATCATCTCGATCTCCTGATTTATGCCATTCCAGAAGATACAGCTCTTTGCTCTCAGTTGGCATTTGATGATGCCTTGATGTCCCTCATGTAGCTTGTTCAGGTATTCCTTTGTCAGGCATTTGGGATGACAATTCTTGAACCTTTCAGGATAATCCCGTCTTCAATGGACATCTCGTCCCTGTATGGCCAGTATTTGATCAGGCTTTTTGTCAAGTTTACGCCTTTCTTCTGGCCATCCCTCTAGGATTACATCTCTCAGGATGCAAAGTTCACAGTCCTCTGATGTTGCGGTGCGGATCTCCAGTAGCTTCTTGTCTGAGAACATTACAAAGTCAACTTTCATGTGCATTTCAGGAGACTCAGGAGGCAGAGGATTGAGTCTTGACATGGCATCAGACAGAAGCATCTCCTTTCCAGGTTTATATTTCACTGTCATGTCATACCCTTGGAGTCTGAGCAGTAGTTTTGTAGTCTTGGGGGTGCAGCTCCAAGGTTCTTGAGAGTGATCATCTCTAGTGGTTTGTGATCTGAGAGGATAGTGAAACTTCTGCCGAAGACGAACGTGTGAAACTTTTCACATGCGTAGACAACTGCTAGCATCTCTCTCTCAATGTTAGCGTATCGCTGCTCGGTGTCTGTGAGGGACTTTGAGGCAAACGCTATTGGTCTCCATTCCTGTGTGAGGGCTGCTCCAACGCCTTTCATCGATGCATCTACTTCTAGGACAACAGGTTTCTTTGGATCAAAGTAAGCAAGTGTGGTCTCCTTGCAGATCAATCTTTGATGGTCTCAAACACCTTCTGATGTGATTCAGTCCAGCTATATATCACATCTTTCTTCACAAGTTCCCGAAGTGGTGCAGTCAGTGAGGCAAGTCTTGGAATGAATGGTGACATGTAGGTCACAATGCCTAGAACTCTCGGAGTTCTGTCACGTTCTGTGGTGCGTTCAGGGCTGATATGGCTGCTGTCTTCTGTGGGTCTGGTTGCACTCCATCTTTGCTGAAGACAAGGCCATAGAATCTCACTCGGTCTTGCTTGATGTGGCATTTGTTCCAGTTCAGGACGAGTCCATGCTCCTTTGCGACGCGCATCAGATTGTGTAAGTTGGCGTCATGTTCCACTGCCGTCTTTCCTACGACTGCTATGTCATCGGCCATTCCTATGACTCCAGGACATTTCTCTAGTATTTGATTCATTCGTTGCTGGAACATGTCCTGAGAAACACACAAGCCAAAAGGTAGTCTTTTGAAACGGTAACGACCAAAGGGACTATTGAAGGTCGTCAAATGGCTTGATTCTTCATCTAGCTGTATAGCCCAATATCCCATGTCTGGCATCCAGGGTACTGAACACTGTTGCTCTTCAAACTGGTGTCGGACTTCTTCAATGGTTGGCATCGGCATATGGCTCTCTTGATTGCCTTATTTAAGTCTTTTGGGTCAAGGCAAATTTCTCCATCTTCCATTGGGCTCTGGGTGTATGCCAAGCTTGATACCCAGTCTGTTGGCTTAGTGACACTTTCTATCACTTCAAGACTCTCCATCTCATCAAGTTCTTTCTGATGTCATCCTTTATGCCTATCGGGCATCGTCGAACTGCATGTATCACAGGAGCCGCATCTTTGTCGATCACGATGTGGTATTCCCATCAAATTTTCCGATTCCATCAAATCTATCGGGATACAAAGTCTCAAATGCTCTCTATCTTGATGGGACTATCATGGCTCTCCATCAGACTGCAATTCAAGACTACTAATCCTAGATCCAGGCACAACTCAAGTCCAAGGATGGCCGGTCTTTGAGTCTTCACCACAAAGAATTCTCCATTTGCTTGTCTGTCCTGGTGGTTACAGCTCAGCGTATGTAGGCCTACTTGTGGAATAACACTCTTTTCACCATAGCCTGTTATCGTTATCGGTGACTTTCTTAGCTTTCCTGTCTTAGGTTCCCCATTAGAGTCCACGCGATCAGGGTACATCTTCTGATAAATGCGTAATGGAAGAATGTTCCCTTCAGATCCTGTGTCAACTTTGGCTTTTAGGGTTGCTGGTCCTCTTCCGATCTCAACTCCGATCACAGCGAAGGCTTCGTTCTTTCTGATCTGGTCTACACAGATGGTCTCAAACCGCATGTCGTCAGTTTCTTCTGTTTCTTCCTCTTCTTTCATCTCATGGAGTCTCTTTGATCTCTGTGCTTGCGACCTTTTCGGATATGTCTTTGTAGCTTCTTGTTTCCTTTGCCACTGCTGTTTAGATTCTTGTTCCTGTTTCTTCAGTCGGCAGCATTTCTCCCAGTGATTCATTTTATCACAGTTTCTGCATTTGGTGCCATAAGCAGGGCACTTCCTCGGTGGATGGTTCAGTCCACAGAATGAGCACTGTTTCTTCCTTTGGATATGTTGCTTCGTCATATCAACGTTGACGGCTTGACCATGAAGGAGTCTCATATCCGCCTCAGTTGCCTCCTGGGTTCTGGCGATGTCCAAAGCTGTATTTAACGTCAGTTTCTCATCCTTGGCCAACAATGTTTGCTGTACCTTCTTGCTTGAGGTGCCAATGACGATCTGTTCTATGAGGCGACCTTCAAGTTCAATGTCCGCAAACTTGCATTTTTGTGCTTGTATTTTGCATCTGGCCATGAAGTCGTCTATGGCTTCGGCTGGTTCCTGTGCCAATTTCTGCAGCTGAAATCTTGCCAGACGGAAATTGGTCTTTGGTTCGAAATGTTTTATGAAAGCTTCGAAGACCTCAGCTGGGGTCTTGAAGTCCTTTCCCAGGATTTGTGAATCCTGATACCCTCTTGACCCATCCACAACAGGATGTATGTACATTTCTCTTGGTCAGACTTCTTGTTAAGCGGCCCTGAAAATATCAACTCACAATAGTATTGAAAATTTCTAAATTCAGTCGGCAAATCTTTGGATGCCCAATCCATGCAGGGAGGGTGATTCCTGTCATCTCTCCCATGTGTTTGTTTGTGTGTGTGACTTTGTAACAGCCAATAAAATCTAATATAGCCTAGAAGTCTAAGTCACATAAAAAAAAAACTACTACTAGTCATATTCAGCCTTATACATAAAGGAGTAAGGTCATATAGTGTGCCTTATCCTAATATACAAATAGGAGTAGGGTTACATTACAATTCACACCCTATCCTGTGTTATCAATACTGCAATGAGACAAAATATCTATGGCATTCGTTATACTGCATCGCAACAAACATCATCAATAATACAATTCCAAAGCAATTTATTCCTTTGCCAGTCCAACTCTTCCATGTCTCTATTAAATATAAGCCGGTCCTTCAATACTATCCATGGATTTACTCACATTAAATGATCCTGGACCTGGTCAGGTTGGTGATTCAACTATTCTATTCAAACATGTGCAAATAATGAATTCAGCAAAGCGTCCATTATTTCAAAATGTTGAATCTTGATTAAAATCTAGTGTCTCTCAGTTCAAGTTCATATCTTATTCCACGGAGATCTGTATTCCAGGTTTCACTCTCATATAGGTCTATAGTATGTAGGTGTCGATCGAGGTGTCCAGCTCCAGCGACGTCGTCGATCCTCCGATGAGCTCCGAGTCCGTGTGGCTCAGTTCCAAACCAAAATGCAGGGCTGGGAGTATAGCGCCCTAGCTGTACTGTACTGTTCCCGGTCCCGGTCGAGCCTCTAGGCTCTGCTCCTGGCGAGCCTCTAGGCTCTGCTCCTGGCGAGCCTCTAGGCTCTGCTCCTGGCGAGCCTCTAGGCTCTGGTTCTGCCTCCGCATCAAGCTGGTCCTGAATGTAGGGCAAATAATCACTTCTCGATCAGTGCTGTGCTGTGCTATCGGACGGTAGGCTCACTCGGTCTCAGTTCGTATGGGGTTTAAAATCTCATATTTGCGACTCACCAAATAATCAGTGTCGTGTTCTGCAGTACTCAAACGTCCCTCAAATATATCGCTGACCTGTTCAGAGCTTCACCTTTCTCAGTTCAAAATTCATCTCAGCGGAATATCAGTCCAAAATCGTTGTAGAGGAAAAACTAACTTGCTCAAATCGCGAAGTTTCCGTCATTCACAATGTAAACAATCGACTCACACTGTTCCGTTCGAAATTCCTCCGCGGTTAGCGCGCGTAATTTTTCGTACGTGCTAGTCAGTTCCATACCGCATATACACACGAGCCAAATTAGCACAGGGGGTCGATGCGCGTAGACGAAATCCCAACCTAGGCCTGGCCGGTAAACGGTGCTTAAATTGTCCATAAAATCCAAATCCGGGCTCCACCTGCACTCAAAATGGTCTAGCAAAGTCCTGGCACCGCTGCCACCATGTAAAGTGTTGTACACTAATTATGATTTATAATAAGAGTCTTCTTGAGGCTGGATTTTATAGAACTCAAATATGAACAACTTGTTATATTTATTAGATGTATGTGAAGCCGCATTACAATCTGCGGTAGCAATAATCATGGGCATATGATATAGGTCATTTGTTGAACATACATGTAGATATAAAATGATATCATATCACAGGGGGGGGGGGGAATCCTGTTCGTACCCGTTTTGGGGCACTTTATAAATTAAATTTGGGTTTATGCCCCCCCCCCCCCCCCCCCCCCCCCCCCCCCCCCCCCCCGCCGCCTGACAGTAGTAATATGAATAGTTGTAAATCACGTACGGTTTTAGTTTAGGATCGGAGTAGAAGTAGAATAATAGATAATAATGATAACCAGAGGATTGTGACACATTGTTACAATTATAAGTTAAACTTGACACATGAAGTCATTACAAAAACAACTTCAACAACAAGTCTAGGATTATGTTTTCTGGGCTCTCCTATGTTACGTAACAAACAAAGGGGTACTTGGACCACGCTCTGTCACCCCATTCATAAAACCGAAATGGTTGTTTAACAGTTTGAGAGAGCTAGTCTTGCTCGCAGTCACTTGAGTGTGACTTTCGCCGTTTTCTTCTGTAATTCTGAACTTTTTCTTCTTAATTCTTCTTTTTCCTCTCCTTCTTCTTCTCCTTCTTTTTTTTTCTTCTTCTTCTTTTAGAAATGTCTCACTATGTGAGACTAAGATTAGGCGCATATACTTTTGGGGTAATAAATAAACCTCGGCCCAGTCATCCAAAGTGAGTCAAATATGATATGATTTATAAATGGGGCGCCAAATAACTAAATCATTAAATTAATTTCTTTCTTGTTTGGTTGCTGCCTGCAATTGTCTAAAACTAAGCGAGAAAAATATGCAGTCATGAAGGCATAACATAATTATCTTCCTAGCTCTTAGTCCTCCATGGTATTATGAGTCAACTTTAAAAGAAAATGAGGGATCGCCGAAATGTTTCCAATTTGCTTTGAAACTACATTGAAAATTGAAAATAAAAATGACATGCTGTTTACAATGAACGATTTGATTAAGCTATGCACTGGCATATCACAGCTATAGTTACAATTTATTTGACAAACTAGTAACCCCCCCCCCCCCCCATCACAAAACAACAATAAGTTCACTGCGTGCCTGGGGATTACATGCTTGCCTTCAAGAAATTAGATGATGATACTGAGCTCTTCTATTTTACATAACAAAATAAACAAAGGGGTACACTTCCTGTCCCCCATTCACAACGAAACACCAATCGGCAATGGTCGCGTGCGAAAATTTGCATAACAAGTGATAGATCGAGGGCTTATATTGGTATAGTGTAGACTCATTTGCATATGAATAGTCTGCATTCGCCCCGTCGTGTTTAAAGCATTACTAATCTCTCTAATAGTCTAGAGTATTCACTTCGCTTTCTGTCAGTTTAAGCTTGCCTTGACGACTTGTATAGATACTCAAACATTCCTCTATTATATAGTTAGTTGGCATTTTAGTTTAGTAAGCATCTATTTTGCTCGAAAAAGTCATCGATATCGTCGATTCGTTAAAAGTGCCTTGATCCAGACTATATTAGTTCAACATGTGGTGGCTTGAGCGAAAGCAGAACCAGTTGTTCCTGATAGTGAATGGACGGAGGGCATTCAGCCGAAACAGGAATGTCGAGTTTCCCGACGTCATCAGCATGATTTGCGTCGCTACCACTTCATCTACTGAAGACAGCATACAGGTGAGAAACTTACATAACCTACTAGAATAATCTGCAGTTCGTGTTTCTGACATGGTTACTCTTTAAAAAAATGCAACCTTGCAACAATGCAAGTCAAGACATGATTGATAGACATTCTAACTGTTGGACAAGTGCAAATGAAATCATTTCAAATGGTGTGCAGCACTGCCTGCAAGTGCAAGTGCAACGTAGACTTTCAACGTAGGGATTAAGATCTAACTTTAACTCAACAACAGTTAACTGTCAGTTCAGTTATCTATTTATCTCAGATCTCTAAGTTCGGTTTAACAAACTAGTGTTAGACCTATTTTTTTATGTATATCACTTATCTATTCTAGCACTATAGTCGTACTACTAGTACTAGTAGAGTCTATAGTAGCTTGCTGGGACTGGTTTGGTTGAGCTGGTTGCATGTGACCCGGGCTTAGAATATATATTATTTTATAGTGTCTAAGTTAAGTAGATTAGATCTAGACTAAGCCAATTAAAACTTAACGTCAGTAGTAAGTAAGTTGTGTCTGCTATTTTGTTGTTCAAAGACACTAGTTGTCACTATGTAAAGAAATATTCTGGTTGAGGTCAAATAGAGTCTATGTGAAATGAGTTTGACAGAGCATTAAACCATTAATTATTACTCCATCGTGATTGAGATCTCAACTATAAATCTAGGTAGAGGTCTCTATTTAAACTGAAATCACATCAAATTCAGACTTGGTTCAGGTCATGAGACAGTTCGGCTGACTGTCTACTAGCGACCAAGTCTTGAAGCCTAGCCTCCACCAAATTATTTCTTGTGACCAGTATAAATGTAACCAATTATATCCCTGTTACACATGTACACAAAAAATATTTACAAAAACGATGAATTTTATTTCATCTAATCACAGCAAAAACTTACATGCCATATGCAAAAATGGATCTATGAATACATGTAGATCTGGGTAAACTAATATAGGGTTTCAAACTCTCTGCATCTGCATAACATATGAAATTATATAATGAGCCAGGAAAAATTAATTTCCTTCAATATAATTTTTAATCAAAATATCTTCAAAGCTTTTTGTATCCCAGGATGTAATTCAAAATATTGCTAGAAAAGTGATTGAGTTCATGTTTGGTTCTTTAATTAACAATCGCACAGATCCAGGTGTGCAGAGAGATATCCAATTGGATTTTCGTCTTGGGAGCCGACCCAAGCTAGCTAGATCTAGTAATTATCAGTAAAAGTTTGGTGAATATTTGATAAAGGATTTATTACAAAGTTTTTTTTAAACCCAAATTAAAACTCTGCGATGAACTTTTATTGTGTGCTAAAATTGAATGAATTCATAATTTCTTGAACACAATTTATTCATGCCTGTGCCATATGTTTTCACACACTTTTAGATTTTTTACTTTATCAACTACCATGGAAACGTCTACAAAAATGTGATAAGAATTTTTAAGTTACATGTCCGTCACAGAGTTGTAGATTTTTGTTTGATTGGAAATTAAAATTTGTATAACATTGCTTATAATCCGTTTTCAGATTTTGTCAGATAACTATCATCAAGCTGTCAACCTGATTTTTCTGCTTATTCATAAAAATCAATATATATTATTTGTGTAGACTTTCCTGTTGAATATTTCTGACTCATTCAAAACCTTCACTGATTGGTTTCTCTAACTTCAATTAGTTTACCCATATTTTGTGTGTCCAGTCGAGTCACATAGCTAAAACATACCTGACACATAGTGGAAGACTTTATTATCCCCTCGCGGATGAAGTCAGAGGGGATATAGTAAAGCTGCCGTCCATCCTTACTTCCGTGCTTCCATAACAAATGGTTTTCTTTTGATAACTGTAGATGTGTTTTGCAGAGTTTAATAAAATTTGATTTGAAGGTGCATGCATGGTATAAAGTACAGCCTAAGGTCGATTTTAGAGTATGTAGGTCAAAGGTCATAGCTCATTAAATATGCGAAAATAGCAAATTATGGCTTCAGTTCGTTAACTTTAGTAAAGTTCAATGGATTTTAATGAATTTTGGTATGACGTCATGGAATCAAAATTCAGCCCGAGTTTGATTTCGGAGTATATATGTCAAAGGTCATAAGTCTTTAAATATGTTAAAATGTAGTTTCCGTTCGATAGCTTAAGTACCGGTAATGTTTGACTTATTTTAATGAAATTTGGTATGAAGGTACATGGATCAAAATACAGCCTGAGTCTGATTTTGGAGTATGTAGGTCAAAGGTCATAAGTCTTTAAATATGCGAAAGTGTGGTTTCCGTTCGATGTTTAAAGGGGAAGTCCACCCTGAAATTAAGTTGGGTTTAATAAAAGCAGAAGAATGAGAGAAACATATCATTGAAGGTTTGACGAAAATCCATCAAAGGATAACGAAGTTATGAATTTTAAATTTTTAATTTTGTGACGTCACTTCCGAGCTGCTCTTCCATATGTTGTGTACTGTAATTTCCATAAATTGCCCCCTTTTCATGGTTCTTGATGAAGGAATGGATCTATTTCATAGAGGCGTGTATAAAAGCATGTGTCTGATAATATATCGAATGCACAGGTAAAATAATTATTATTTTTCTGAGAAAATGGCAATTTATGGAATTTACAGTACACAACGTATAGGAGAGCAGCTCGCATGTGACGTCGTCACAAAATGAAAACTTTAAAAATTCATAACTTTTGTATCCTTTGTCGGATTTTCGTCAAACCTTCACTGATATGTTTCTCTCACTGTTCTGCTTTTATTAAAAACAACTTAAGTTCAGGGTGGACTTCCCCTTTAATGGATTTTTATAAAATATGGTATGAAGGTACTGTACATATTGTATAAACATACAGCCTATTAAGTTTGATTTCAGAGTATTTAAGTCAAAGGTCATAGCTCATTAAATATGCAAAATAGCTTACTATGCATCTGAATATGCGGTTTCCATTCAGGGGCCGCGGAGCGTTTTTTGAAAGTGGGGGGGGGGGGGCGGATCATGCAAAAAAGCACAATCTTATAGTCATTTTCGCGTTTTTGTACACGTCTACTGAAAAAAGTGGGGGGCTGCAGCCCCCCTTAATCCCCGCGGCTCCGCGGCCCCTGCCATTCGATAACTTTAGTAATGTTTGTCAGATAATCCCCTTGCGGAGGAAATCTGAGGGGAAAATAGTAACGCTACTGTCCGTCCTTCCGTCCGCCTGTAACAAATCTTGTGAACACGTACTGGTTTCCGTTTGATAATTTAAAATGTTTGACAGATTTTCATGAAATTTGATATGAAGGTACATGCATGGTATCAAATACAGCCTAAATTTGATTTTGGAATAATGTACATTAGGTCAAAGGTCAAATGTCTTGGGTTATTCCGTAAAGTAGTAAACTTTCTTTTCATTCAATCCCCAGATGTCAGTAACTTAATTCCGTCTAATGGACGTACATGTAACTTGTTCTGATGTATTATGCCGTTTGTTTCCAGCGAGGGCTTGCTACGCTTTGCGTTGTCCTTGTGTTGTATTTTTTGTTCTGATGTGATGTGCAGAGAGTGTTTTTTATACAAAGTACTTTTTTTTCTAAATGGCCAATGTTGGTTAAACATGGAACTTACATGTAGGAAAGTATACCTAACAAACTGAAAGTTTCCCCACTAAGTCATACATACATGGTCACATTGCCAATGGGAGGGTCTCCATACTTGTATATACTTTTAAAAACTCATATTTGTTTGATTTTTCTACATTCATCCAAACCAAATTTCTATGAAAGATTCAATTTCCCTTTAAGCTTTAAGCTGACATTAACCATCTTAGATTAGATTAGATTTTTTAAAGAGATATTTAAAAGAGGATTAACCTAGCTAGACTATGTACTGGGCGACATTCAAAGTTAGTCTTATACCTTTTGACATAGCGATTGACAATGTATTTCTGTAAATCAGCATATTGTATTATGAAAGTTTATGAATTCTTGAAAGAAAGAAAGTATTCTGAATTCTCAACAAAAACCAAACAAAATAAAAAAGTCTCCAAAAAAAATTTTCTTCAGAATTTCAGGATTCTCAAAAAACAAAAAAAAACAAACACATCTAGAATTCTCTAAAGAATGTTTTTTTTAATTCCCTTTTTGGAGAAATCTGAAATTCATGAATGGGAGGGGGGTTTGTATTTAGGAGTCTATTTACTATAATAAATAGTGAATGTTCTATCATGTACACTATAAATACTGGACTATGAACTCCAAATACTAAATTATCCCTCGTGCAGGTTTATTTTGACTCAGGATAATTTAGTAATTTAGTCGGACATATAATTCATTATTGTATGATAGAGTATACACTATTTATATAATAGTTCACGACTTACTTATGCAGATGGTCCTTACAAGGGTGCTATAGGTTATACTGGCTTTAAACGGGACAGAAACAGAACTGTATACATAATTGAGTCCTGAAATCGTACCGGTGGTACTCGAACTGTCCAGGCTCCTAACCTAGAATGCAGCATCCTGATAATGTAGTCTTATAATATATGCACACTTAAATGATTACAAATTTTTCCTCTATTCTTTATGACATTCATACCACAAATATGTTACCAAACTTGTAACAAATTAGTACAATGCCCTTCCATACATTCCTGTTTTCCATTATAAATCCAATTATACAGGTATAATTTATACTGAAATGTACAATGTATTGTAAAGGTATCAAGACTAGCTTTATGCCATATTACTGGACTACCCACCTAGTGCTAGCCAACCTGAGAGGATGGTGCACCATTAAAAGTTTCAATCACTGATGACATGGAATATCTCATATTGGCAACGCAGTCACTTTTTGTGATGTCATACAAGGAGAACTCTCCCACATGTACAAAAATATGTGAATTTCATTTTTTTCCTCAGTCAATTCATAGAACAGAATTTTTGTCCAAGTCCTCCTATAAAAGAGGTGATTTTAGTGCAATATCTGCAAAAGAAATTGGAAAGTTTTTCATGTATGATCTCCATATTAAACATTAGTAATCATAACTTTTTTTTAAATTCACGTCTTTACTCATTAATTGACTGTTTTTGCTTCAACTTAATTTCACTGACATTTATGTTACTTTAATTTTTCTGCATTCTTACAATTCAATTGTCTCTGAGGAGTTTATTCTCCTTTATAACGAGGGCAGAATCTAAACTCTACCGCAGTGCAAACTGTTGAAAGTTATACATCCCATACTTGTATCGCAATTGTATTAATGAAAATTCATCTAATTAATGAGAGTGCAAAATATAGGTTGTTTCTCTAAACATAGAGGTATATAGTCTGTACTGTTTGTACATTTCGGAGGAAATCGACTTACTAAAAGTTTCTGAATGTCCTGTGCATGCACATTTGTTGTATGTTACATGACACGATCATCAGGCAGACTACAACTTCACTCTTGATTTCTCAAGGGGAATTGTAATTTGTATATTATGCAAAACATATCTACCCTAGCTACATGTACATGTACAACAAAGAAATATGAGTAAAAATTGGCATTCAAGGAAAAAGGGATCTTTTTTTGCATGTTCCCCCGCCAAAAGAAGTTTGAAGGGGGTATACATGTACATAGGAATTGGCGTACGGTCGGGTTGTCGGGCGGTCAGTCGGTCAGTCTGTTGCAAATCTTGTGGATCGAACTACTTCCTCATTTTTTGAGCAATGATCATGAAACTTGGCACACATATTGGTCTTAGGATGGAGATGTGCAAGACATACTTTTTTACTGTGTTGGATACTGCGTTGCCATGGGAACGGCATATTATTGTAATATATCGGGGGAAAATCTCGTGGATCGAACTATATACATGTATACTTCCTCATTTTTTTGAGCAATGCTCATGAAACTCGGCACACATATTGGTCTCCAGTTGATTATGTACAAGACATTTTTTTTAATGTGTCGGAAAGTGCGTTGCATTGGTAATGGTCTGTTATTGCAATAAATCTGTAAAATCTTGCAGATCAAACCACTTCTTCATTTTTCGAGCAATGCTCATTAAATTTCGCACAAATATTGGTCTTGAGTTGATTATGTGCAAGACACATTTTTTAATGTGTCGGAAAGTGTGTTGCCATGGTAATGGTCTATTATTGCAATAAATCTGTAAAATCTTGTATATATCAAACCACTTCTTCATTTTTCGTGCACACACATGGGGAGTGAGTATTAATCACTTTCGGTGATATTTCTAGTTCTAGGCAAACATGTAGAACATTCAACTGTATCCCTTATAATCTTTGTGTGAGGTTGTCAAAGCAAAATGAATATAATTTCATTAAGCAGCTTATATTAATGCCTGTATTTGTCCGATTTACTTTCTTCCCAGGTCTGTTTTAGTAATGGTCTTTCTACACAGGCAAAGTTTTGCCAAATGAGTGTCACAAACATGGCAAAGACTTTGAAAAAAACGGAGAACAGCCTGACCGATGTTTTGTCAGTGATGGCGATCGTTAATGACGACATGATCTATTCATTTCCGTCATCAGAGGAAGAACTCCTTCCTTCTCAATCTTACACACAATCGAGGCAAAAACGTAGCAGTTCTGGATCTAGCAGCGACGGAACTCCACCAGAACGTAAGAGACGAAACAAGACTTCTGAACATTCGGCGGAGAATTCAGATGCAGCAATTGAACAAAAATGTCAAGGTTAGTTTGTGTTCCATTCTTTTACAAAATTCATTTCACTAATAATTCCAGACGTACAACATTTCTCTCTACATGATATCACTAAGTTTAAATGTGATGTTATTGATTGGCAGTTTTTAAATCAAAGAGAAATGCAAATATCATGGAGAGAATGTGTACAAAATAGTTTATCAATATAACAGCACTGAAAGCCTGATAAAATTGGGACATTCCACTTTTATTATTTGATTTTGTATAACTTCAAACAATTTTTAAATGGACTCCTATACAAATACCACAAATATTTCCATTTTTTTCATCAAAACTACAATCTCCTTTTTCTTATTGTTTATGAAGTACATGTTTGGGGCCAAATTGATTATTTAATGCCCCTCTGCAATAGCCACAGGGAAGGTAAAATGGCCAACTGCTGATTAAAACCAAAATAAAGTTGAAAAATGATTAATTGCCAATTCCCCAAAACAATGTTCATATGTTGCATTTTCCACATAAGGCAAAATGAGATTGAATTGAAAAGGGCTATAGGAATATTTTTTGTATAGCTCTAGGACAAAATTTCCCTGATGAGCCTCTGTGTGTTTTGATCCAGTTACTAATAATATGTATCAGGGCCCGTTGCATAAAGACTTACTATTATGGTAACTACCATAGAAACCTTGATTTCGATTGGCTGCTGAGCCCGGTTACCATGGTAGTTACCATAATGGCAAAGTTACCATAATAGTAAGTCTTTATGCAACGGGCCCCTGGTGTCATTTTCAAAATGTAGATTGTTCTCTGCACAGGGGATATTATTTATAAACATTAAAGATTTAAATGTCACAATCTTTGAAAATGTGTCATTGACCTGAAATTTTATTTCTTTACATGTAGGCATTTCTGAAATCTCCCTCAAAAAACTTGTGGAGCCCGAGAAGGATCTCCAGAGACCACGTACCAGGAAGGAAGTGATGGAGGCCAAACAGTTCGTGATGAAGGCAGCAACCCACTTCCAGAGCTCCCATGTCCTTCCAGTCCTCGCAGTAGATGGCCCTTCTGGAACAGCTTACCAGCTCCTAGGAGGGGTGTGCTATGCTCTTGCAGCTAAGGATCTTGTTGACGATGAAAGGTATTTTATTCTATAAAAGTTACCCGTTTTTGCAATTGCTTTTTAATGTTATTTTTGTTTCTTTTTGTAGTTACAGTGTATGAGACAAAGGTTAAATTTTTAAAGGGATTATGTGATGTACTTACCGATATTATATGTACAGAACATATTCATTTATCACTTGTCTTTTTTTTCTCCATTTATTATGCAGTCCACAAATATGTAGTGGAAGCATGTAACATAAAAGAAATGCTACCCAGGTAGTCAATGTACCATTTGGGAAGAAAAATGGTAATAGAGAGGTGTTCCATTTATAGTTATACAATGAAGGGTATATTAAGGACAATACAAAATATTTTTAGATCCCTGACTCAAATAAAATCCCATAGAATATTTCCCTTGTGTACCATGTTCATATTTGTTTTCTTAAAAAGTGTGTGACTGCATGGAAAGGTATACCGTGTAAGCTTTTTTCCAATATTTTATTCTGCATGATACATATATACACCATGTTTCTATATCCTACCCATCTCAATATCCTATAACCAATATACTTTTTCTGATTGCTTTAGATATGAACATCTATCTCGTGGATGGCGCTGCAGGGTGTACCAAAACCTGGACAAGGTTGAGGCATTGAGAGTGGCATCACTGCATAGGTGTGGGCAACCTGCTGTAGACAAGCCGTGCTTGCAGGAGGAGGTTGCTGTCTGCAGGTCAATTCTATACGATGACAACAACCTTGATGTGGAGGATGAGCCCTGCACTATGACTGCCTCGACAAGACGCAAGTGTTCCCTAGCCCTTGGGAAAAATGGCTCCTTCAATGTAAGTCTAAACACTAGAGCTGACATTTTCATCTGACATTTTCATCTAGATAAAATGCTGAATTCATTCAATGTTCTATTTTTACTTGTAGCGAAGTAGGTTTTTTTTTTAATGAAACGATGAATCGGACATTAAATTAGATTTATGTTCAGCATAAAAACTCATGAACATCACCCAACCCCCCAATAAAAAGGTTATTGTTATATTCAGCCAACTTACATGTACATGACAAAATGGAGTTTAATCAATGATTGATTTGAGATGATCGAGCTTTCAAGAGTGACTGTTGGAAACATAAATTTTAGCCAAAAAGTTCTAACATTTCTTATATTTTAACTTGAGGGGTCATATTACAATATGGTGAATTATGTAATGCAATGGTGATTGCAGTGAATGAATTGGAATGTTCAGAATCAAACTGGTTATGAGAGCATATATTATCCATTTCTTTTTTTGTTGTAATTTACAGGCACTGAGGGCTCTCGAGCCAACTTTCCAGTTGGCTAGTTATTCAAACAGATGCTACAGGAAAGCCACTCTCCTTTTCGATGCAACTAGAGAATCTACTGGAAAGGATTTGAAACAATGTGTAAGTAAGCTTTAAATTTTTTTTTTTTTTTTTACACATTTAAATATCATCTTGAGTAATGAAGGAAAGCATTTTTTTTCTTCATAGAATCGAACAAAACTTGACTTGCGAATGTTCAAAACACCAAATAAATTATAACTTTTTGGTAGAAAATGTATATTATTGCTGAGTAATGAGCTATATGAAAAATACAAAAATTGAGCTGGACTGGATGTCACACATACCACATGTTTTCTGTGCAAATGAGAATTGTGGTTTATTCAGCCGCTATAAGGAGTTTATCAAATCATCACAACCAAAGTAAATAAAGTAATATAGCGCCACCATTGGCGGATACCCTATTCTGACTGGAGGGGGGGGGGGGGGGGGGGGTTCAATTTCCAGTTCAAAATCTGTGACTGATGCGCAATGGCTGCAAATAGCGACACGGCTTCCGGTGACTTTTTCTGACTTTTTTTGTTTGTCTCGCAACTTTTGAGACCGAGTTCTAAAAATTAACAATAAAATCAACTTTTTGCATAGGTACGTTCGTGTACAAAATACTGCTTTTCCTAAATTGCTTTACAACACTGTTAATTGTGCCTTCTAGTCTTTTTGCCTGACCATACTTGTCTTGAAACTTTTCAAGATACACTTTTGAAACATGAAAAAAATCACATATATAAATGAAAACAATAGATACATAAGTAGTTTATGAAACAATAGAATACAAAAGAATTGATCGGAAATTTCATTATTTATTATTTCAGTATTGTTGCCTATGCTATTCAGCAACTTTAAAAAAGAGATTGAGCTTCATAACTTAATGAAATATTAATGAATATGTTAAAATAGGTATCTAATTTGCATAAATTATAATAAAGTAACAAATTTGTGATAAAAACAAATCTGTATTGACGTCCTTGCAATATTTCGCATTAAGCTTGCACTCAAAGTGAGAATAGGGTTAAAGCAATAGTTTTTTACATATTCAAATCAAACAATAGATGAATTGGGGATTCTTTGCAGAAGAATTGACTTTGATTGAAAAAGTTGATAGTTCATATATATGCAAATAAAATTTGTCTTCTGACAGTGAGCAACAATACTTCACGTGCACTAATAACTACTCTTATTATTTTCATTTGTCTTATTTTATAGTGTTTCATGAAGCTACAAGGACTCTCAGAAGAGGAGCGATATTCACTTCTTCTGGAGGCGACCTTGTCTTTGAATGTTAAAAAGATGAAGGCGGATGCCGATGAACTGAAGGCAATGAAGAGTCTGAAGAGCGTGTTTGCTAAGGGAGTTGGGGCTAAGACGTGGGAAGAGGCGATAGAAAGATACCCAACCTTCACTTCAGAAGCAGCCCTGGAACCCTATGTTGGTATGCACAAATCATGGCTTCGTATAATGTCTATTGAAGAGAATATTGAGCCCCAGCAAGATATACAATAATTGCTATCCTGTATCTCCATCAATCCAAATTTTAAAGTTTAGATGAACTAGTAGGGTTGACTATTCTGACTGGGGGGGGGGGGGGGGTCAATTTGGCCCCTGCCTCCCCCGTACACAATCCAGGACTGCCACGTAACCGCTACAAATCACAACCTGCCTTTCAATGACTTTATTGTCTCGCAACTTTTGAGACCAAATTTGCCCCAAAATTGGGACAGTCCATGCTAGAGGTTATGCAACATTACTTAACCACACGTCTAGCCACAATTGACATTTTGCATAGTACGTTTGTGTACAAAATACTGCCTTTTCTAAATTGTTCTATAAAACATGTCAAGTTCAAATGTGGGTCAAAGGCAACAGGTCAAAAGGAAAACAGACTTTCCTTGGGATTCCATTATTGCTAAAGAGTAAACTACCAGAACCCAAAATTCACCTCCTGATCTGCTTATAGGGCCTAAGATGCAGGCAAGACAACGCTTGGCGTTTGCCTTGTTTAATGATATATTATTGAATGTGTTAAAATAGGAATTTAATTTGCATGAATTATAATAAAGTAATAAATGAGTGATTTTTGTAAAAAACAAACATCAAAGCAACATTTCTTTGCATGTGCATTGCTGTCCATGCAAAATTTCCCATCAATCAGACCTTCTGTGGCCAAGATATTGTGGGGGGAGGGGGGGGGGGGTCAAATTGACTCCGGAGCTCTATGATCAATGTATATGTATTTTTTTCAGGTAAAAAGTATACAAAAGGTAACATCCCAGAGGTCTTCCTGGAGCACATCAGCAGGGCCAAGAGAGACATGGACATGAATGCAGACGACATCCCAGCCCTTATGATACAAGAACTAGAAGAGGTATTGTCCCATATTCTTAAGGTTCCAAAGCACTTATTTGTAGGCACTTGGTAATTGAAAGAGGTAAACTGAATTTCACATAAAACAAATCTCAAAATTGTGAGTTTAAAATATCTCAAAGTTGTAATATTGTAATCTATAAGGAACTCAAGGTTAAGGGATTTACATGGAGAATGATCTTATGCTGATGAAAAATCATTGGTAATTTGTCATTGATAACAAAAAAAAAACAATTATATTCATGGCATAGAAATTGCAATTTTCCCACAAGTCATATATTACGTACAATGGCACTGTCGCCCAGACGACTGGCATGGAAAAGTGCACCCACATGCTATTTCATCCTATTTTCAAATTTGATTTTTCTATTTTGATTCAACATAGCAAATGTTAAGCTGCAGATAATTATGAAAAGGGTATAAATAAAAAAAAACAGTTTCCAGAACTTTGCATTGTGTATATTATCTGGGCTCAACATATTAGAATTATAGTTAATTTGTATGTTCTTTCCTTTTTATTTGAATTTCTGATATTACAGGATATCCAGTTATCCTCAACACCATCGGCTACTACCAGAATCTTCCTGACAAAGGACATCACAGCGATATCCAAAGTGGTCAGCCAACATACCCGACACGATGTGCATATATTGCATATTGTCCAGTCCCCAGTAGGAGATATTCAAGGTAACTATGCATGTTCCATGTCTTTTATTAAATATCTTATGAAGCTGACTGTTATTTCGGTATTCAAAGCAACATAACAAACGTTTTTGTGGTTGTGTAATAATGAGATAGCTGCAGTGTGTGTTAAAAAAATATAAATTATTAAGAAAGAATGTTACCGTATAACTTCCAGTGTGTTAGATTGGCTGCTCGATCTGAATGAAAATTCTTTCTTAAGAAATCCTCCTATGAAGCTCAACATTCATATAAATTTTTGTTTATATCACTTGGATTTTAAATATAATCTTGAGTTCTGGTAATGACAGAAATTAATTTCTGACAGAATCCAATGACATTTACAATGAATGTTCAAAACTTCAAAAAATAATGATTACTGAATGCTTTTGGGGGAAAAAAACATATAATAGCTGACTAATGCTGAACAAATGAAGATAAGATGCTTGCCATGTGATCTCAAACACATTACCTCCAAAGCAAGCTAATTATATTAATTAGACAACTGCGGAGTAATTGTGAAACAAATGCATTTCTAATGTCTGGGTTTTTATTCCTAAAGAAAAAGGTGCATTCAGAACTCAAAAAATCACATTGTATCTGTTTGAAAAGAAATTGTGCCTCATGTGAAAAATCACATGTATGTATATTCGTTTTACTTCTATAGGAAATTAAGGCTTATTCATACTGTTCTAAGTAGCCATATAAAATGTGCATATATATTTTATCAACAGATGTCAACCATAATGTCTGTATGCAGTATGGTATTGTCGAGTCTAGGAGGAGGGGTGCTGGCACTAGCCAACTCTACATGCCATCAAGATCAGACTTCTACAAATATGCAGTGGAGCATTTCACTTCTATTGATGAAGTGGTTCTTGACGTTGGAGACGGTAAGACATTTTATCTATATACAGATCCAATTAAATTATGATACAGTTTTAGAATAAATGGGTAGATTAAATATATAGAGATACCAATAAAGCAACATGAATACAAAAATAAAATAAAATGTAAGGAAAGGAAAGTTGTGAAATAACGTCCAAATTGTGTAAATTCAAATTGGCTTTTTTCAATTCAAGTATATTTACCTATTTTTCACTATCCATAAATTCTAGACGCATAATAACTGACATTAATAGCATCAAAGTTGCCCAGTGTTGCACAACAAAGATTTTAGTCACGAGATTTGGGGTCGTGCAAAATCATGGTCAATATCAATAAGCAACCCTGTGCCTTGTCGGAAATTTGTGTTAACCCTAACTTTACCGGAAAGGTCTCAGATGGCGCCCCCCCCCCCCCCCCAGACAAATTTTGTTGTCAAACCCATTGCATTTTCAGCAATAGCTAGCGCTTCATGATTTTTTTTTCAAGTGTTATAAATCTTATGACACTGAGGTGTTGAAAATCAGACCTTTCATGATAAAAGGTCGAGCCGATTTTTTTTTTTTTTTTTTTTTTTTTTTTCTTCCAGTTTTCCAGTAGAATGCAAAAAAAAAAAATGTTCATAAAACATTGAAATACATAAGAATTGAAAAATATGCAAAAAAAAGGCATATAAAAACTGTTTGAGAAGAAATGAACTGTGTAAAAGCTTAAAGACTTGAGATGACATTGTGAGCATATAATTTAAAAAAAATCCAAGTCAAGAGAGATATAGAGAGCTTTATATCTTCTCAAAAACTCTGAAACCAAAAACAATTTGGAATGAAACATTTTAGATAGGTTACAAACAGAGATTTTTTATATATATTCTCACCAGGAGAGAAATTAAAACGGTGGTTATTAGAACCGATCGTTAGATATATTGTTTTTAAACAATGGCTCACATATTCACTATTTAAAAATACTTTCCATAGATATTACAATTTGAGACATTCAGATTGGTCTATTTAAACTATAACTCATATGTGTATACCATTTTCGAGAAATAAAATCAGATTTTAAAAATTCTAACAAGAAAATTGAAACGTCAGTGCCAAATTTGGTTACTTAAGGGGTAGGCTCTGAGGCCCCCCCCCCCCCCCCCCCCTCCAGTCTTACAAATTTCAAAATAGCCCCATTCAGTAAGGGTTTATGCTTTTTTTTTTTTTTTTTTTTTTTATTGATAATGTAAAAGTATTATTTTAGTAAGACAACCAAAAATTTAAAAAAGGGGGTTTATCATTTAAGTAGAAATGTATTGATAAAGAGATGTTGAGCAAATTTAACTCGAAAACCAGCTTTGAAAATCAAAGACAGACTGAACTTTACTAAAGCATTCCATATTGAACTTACCAAAGTAAAATACAAAAATGAACAATATGTAATGCATTTGGTATGGAATTAGGTGCTCGTTTGCTGTGGTTAAAGCCCTTTACCTAGTGTTGCGTCTAATAACTTGGTTCTTCACAAGCTTCACCAGACAAACAAAATTAAATATTCTTTTCTCTATTATATTTTCAGGACTGCTGGCAAGGGTTGCAGCAGAATGTGGACGAAATGGGAGGATGGTAGAGGAGACAACACTGTCCAGCACAGAAATAGAGGCCATGATGGGTGCTGCAGACTCGGAGGAGATTCTAGATGCAGATCTAGTATTAAGCATGGACCAGACGTGTTCTATACCTTAGTGCATTTTGTTTCTCTCATTTCCTCACCTCGATCACTACCTCATTTAGTTCTGAAAAATCTTGTTAAGATATGTGACAAACTAACGTTTTTATGTAAATATTTTTATACAGATATGGCTGGTAGGGTGTTTATATATCATTCTTTTGGCCGCTGGAGTTGTATTTTCATGAGGGAAAATAAAACTCCTTTAGGTAGGCTAAAGAATATGTATTACATACATAACAGGAAATATCTATTATAATATTAGATAACCTTGATTAAGACCAAGTCATGGTTTTTACATGAAAGTCTGAACACGAACAGTTTAATAGAGTCTGATCTACAGTAGATATCCATTGTCTTCGCCTTTCTTCTCTGTGCTTAGCTGTTATTAACGAATATTGTTGATACATGAATACATTGTCTTAGCTCAAGCGCGTATGCTCCTACTGTTATCGTTGACCAGCTGGTCAATATAACCATCCAGATGACCGGGCGTGAACTGTTAACAATAAATTGCAGTCCCCATATCACTTGACATGCTGTGGACCAATCACACCTTAGCAACTCTCTGAGCTATCTAATACAAGTATTTAAGTCTATGTGTAGATGTGTTTTTAGTTTAGTAGATAGGTGGCTGGACTACCGATCATTAGGTACATGTATGTGGTTCAAATCTCGGCCACTTCACTAAGGTCTAGCTTTGGCAAGACCTTAACATACATTTACTACACTCAAACTATGTTGTACCAAAATATGTAGCCTAGTTAAGGTCAGGTAACATACATGCAGGAGCACCTTGCTATATAGATGAGCGCTATACTAGAGTGCAATATTATTATTATTATCTTTTATTAGAGCATATTTTTGTCTTGCCAAGTGAACTTGATTACTTTGAAGGTAATTTCAAAGGCACAGGGTTGGTGAACGTGACTCGTCACCTTATTTATTTTTCTAAAGCATCAACACAAAAACCCACATATTATTATTTTATCAAGGATAAAAACTCGGGTCACAACTATTGGGCCCTTGATTTTGTTACCATCTTGTCAAAATGAAACACTCGATCTAACTCATTTCCAAGCATCAGAAGACGGTTGTTGATATCAATGATGTAGTTGGAAGATCATATACTTCAAAGTTATAATCAAGGAATTATCAGAGCTGGAGTCCAAACTGAGGATAATTTATGCAAACATCTGGCAGATTCCAAAGGATAGTCAATAGAATTATTAAACTGCCTTGGTTCTTTGATATTTGATGCGCGATGCCACCAAAGTAAAAGAAAACATTTTAGAGAGGATGTGAACTTTGTGGGTTTTTGTTTGCACAGTTGATTTATTATATCAATAAACATAGAAAACAAATAGGCAATTGTTTAGTAATTATGTACGATGCCACTCTGAAAATCCCATTCCTCAACAAGCAAGATTTCTTGAGATATTGCCTTAAGAGTGTAATAAATATGTACTGCTTCAAGTACAATATTGATCCCTTGCTGATTGCTTTTCTGATTTTCATATTTTATATGGTACTATCAAGAAAATATTTCTATTAAATTAAATCAACCAGAGTAAAGTCCACATGTGTCCACTCATGGAATTAGCAACTTTAAATCTTGTATTTTTGGACGTGTATCTGTTTGCTTACACCTGGTTATACCATTCATGAGCACTTTCTGTGTAACCAATTATCATTATATTGAATACCTTTAATTGCATATGTGCATCCTCTGTAGCAATACTGGCTGCGGGTGTTTCATCGTTAGTTCTTTTGAATCAATGTGCATGTATTCGGAGAGCGCATATATATTTGTCGTGGTTGTTGTGGCATTGAGCCTACTTCAGAGGAAATTGTTAAGCTTTTACTCCAGCTGTAATTACTCCTTGTTATTATATTAAAGTTTCACATCACTTTAAGAGGGTCAATTTGTAGGATCACTGTAAGTTTATACGTATGTTTATATGTATAAGTTTATACATGGCACGCACCCTCCAAATCCATGTATAAACTTATACGTTTTGGATGGTCAGTACGATGTATAAATTTATACGTTTTGGATGGTCTGTACGATGTATAAATTTAAAAGTTTTGGATGGTCTGTACGATGTATAAATTTATACGTTTTGGATGGTCTGTACGATGTATAAATTTATACGTTTTGGATGGTCTGTACGATGTATAAATTTATACGTTTTGGATGGTCAGTACGATGTATAAACTTATACGTTTTGGATGGTCTGTACGATGTATAAATTTATACGTTTTGGATGGTCTGTACGATGTATAAATTTATACGTTTTTGGATGGTCTGTACGATGTATAAACTTATACGTTTTTAAAGGGTCCATGTCATGTATAAAGTTATACGTCAGAACAAACAGCATGATATACATTTGTATATTTTGCAAGTTGTGTTATTTATAAAAGTGATTGACAACCTATTTTGTGTAAATAATTATTTATTTGTTATCAGTGCATTTATTTGTATTGCCAAATAAAGAAACATGGATTACATTTCAACTGCAAAAAGCATCATTAATTAATTATTTAAGTGTATTGTGTTAATGTTTGTATAAATGCGATGTCTTTCTACTACTGCATGAGAAAGAGAGAATTTACTTTTAGTGATTTCATAAATACTTTAATGAGGAAAGCGAAGGAGTGAAAATGAGAAAGTTAAATATACAGCGAAAATGTCATATAAAGTGTGATGGAGGTGATAGTTGGCTATACCATGAGAAAAGCAAAGCAGTGGAGGCTATAAGCCCTATAAATGAGAGAGTTCTCAAATTATAAGGATTTGGCATGTAATTTGATTTGAATCTGGATTACCCAAGTCCAGATTGGAATAAATTATTACTCACTGTGAGTAGTCATCTGGCCCTTGAATTTCTACCTTATGCTCAGGAGGATAGCCCCTACAGTCTAAGACCATTTTTGATCCGATTTGAATTGTTCAAGCCATCCGTAGAGCAGCCCTTCCTAAGGCATTCCGATCGAGTAACGTTTTTCAAAAATTCAATATGCTAATTAGTACAATTAATTGGGGAATGCCCCTACGCAGCGTCAATTTTCCTTGGCCAGTGAGTAGTCATCTGGCACTTAAATTTCTACCTTATGCTCATGAGGATAGCCCCCACAGTCTAAGACAGCTTTTGGCCCGACCTGAATTGTTTAAGCCATCCCTAGCACCGCCATTCCTAAGGACATTCCGATCAAGTAACGTTTTTTTCAAAAACTCAATTATTCTGATTTGTACAATTAGGGAATGCCCCTACGCGGTGTCAGTTTCCTGGTCAGTGAGTAATCATCTGGCCCTGGAATTTCTAACTTATGCTCGGGAGGATAATCCCCAAAGGCTTAGACAACTTTTGGCCCGATCTGAATTGTTCAAGCCATCCGTAGAGCAGCCCTTCCTCAGGCATTCCGATCGAGTTACGTTTTTCATAAACTCAATATGCTGATTAGTACAATTAATTGGGGAATGCCCCTACGCGATGTCAAGTTTCCTTGGCCATTGAGTAGTGATCTGGCCCTGAAATTTCTACCTAATGATCGGGAGTCCCCAAAGTCTAAGACATTTTTTGGCCCGATCTGAATCGTTGAAGTCATCCGTAGAGCAGCCCTTCCTAAGGCATTCTGATCGAGTTTCGTTTTTCAAAATATCAATTATTCTGTTTATTACAGTTAATTAGGGAATGCCCCTACACGGTTTCAAATTTCCTTGGCCATTGAGTAGTCATCTGGCCATGAAAGTTCTACTTAATGCTCGGTAGGATATCCTCCACAGTCTAAGACAACTCTTGGCCCGATCTGAATTGTTCAAGCCATCCGTAGAGCAGCCCTTCCTAAGGCATTCTGATCGAGTTTCGTTTTTCAAAATATCTGTTTATTACATTTAATCAGGGAATGCCCCTTCGCGGCGTCAGTTTCCTGACCAGTGAGTCGTCATCTGGCCATGAAAGTTCTACTTAATGCTCGGGAGGATAGCCTCCACAGTCTAAGACAACTTTTGGCCCGATCTGAAATGTTCAAGCCATCCGTAGAGCAGCCCTTCCTAAGGTATTCTCATCGAGTAACTTTTTTTCAAAAGATCAATTATTCTGATAAGAAAAATTAATAATTAGGGAATGCCCCTACGCGGCGTCAGTTTCCTGGCCATTGAGTAGTCATAGGGCCCTGAAATTTCTACCTTATGCTCGGGAGGATAGTCCCCACAGTCTAAGACAACTCTTGGCCCGATCTGAAGTTCAAGCCATCCGTAGAGCAGCCCTTCCTAAGGCATTCCGATCGAGTAACGTTTTTCAAAAATTCAATATGCTAATTAGTACAATTAATTGGGGAATGCCCCTACGCGGCGTCAATTTTCCTTGGCAAGTGAGTAGTCATCTGGCACTTAAATTTCTACCTTATGCTCAGGAGGATAGCCCCCACAGTCTAAGACAACTTTCGGCCCTATTTGAATTGTTCAAGCCATCCGCAGTACCGCCCTTCCTTAGGACATTCCGATCGAGTAACTTTTTTTCAAAGTACAAAATATTCTGTTTAGTACAATTAATAATTAGGGAATGCTCCTACGCGGCGTCAGTTTCCTGGCCATTGAGTAGTCATCTGGCCCTGAAATTTCTACCTTATGATCGGGAGGATAGTCCCCAAAGTCTAAGACAGTCATCTGGCACTTAAATTTCTACCTTATGCTCAGGAGGATAGCCCCCACAGTCTAAGACAACTTTCGGCCCTATTTGAATTGTTCAAGCCATCCGCAGTACCGCCCTTCCTTAGGACATTCCGATCGAGTAACTTTTTTTCAAAGTACAAAATATTCTGTTTAGTACAATTAATAATTAGGGAATGCTCCTACGCGGCGTCAGTTTCCTGGCCATTGAGTAGTCATCTGGCCCTGAAATTTCTACCTTATGATCGGGAGGATAGTCCCCAAAGTCTAAGACATTTTTTTGGCCCGATCTGAATCGTTGAAGTCATCCGTAGAGCAGCCCTTCCTAAGGCATTCTGATCGAGTTTCGTTTTTCAAAATATCAATTATTCTGTTTATTACAGTTAATTAAGAAATGCTCCTACGCGGCGTCAGTTTCCTGGCCATTGAGTAGTCATCTGGCCCTGAAATTTCTACCTTATGATCGGGAGGATAGTCCCCAAAGTCTAAGACATTTTTTTGGCCCGATCTGAATCGTTGAAGTCATCCGTAGAGCAGCCCTTCCTAAGGCATTCTGATCGAGTTTCATTTTTCAAAATATCAATTATTCTGTTTATTACAGTTAATTAGGGAATGCCCCTACGCGGTTTCAATTTTCCTTGGCCATTGAGTAGTCATCTGGCCCTGAAAATTCTACCTTATGCTCGGGAGGATAGTCCCCAAAGTCTAAGACAACTTTTGGCATGATCTGAATTGTTCAAGCCATCCGTAGAGCAGCCCTTCCTAAGGCATTCTGATCGAGTTTCGTTTTTCAAAATATATGTTTATTACAGTTAATCAGGGAATGCCCCTTCGCGGCGTCAGTTTCCTGACCAGTGAGTCGTCATCTGGCCATGAAATTTCTACTTAATGCTCGGGAGGATAGCCTCCACAGTCTAAGACAACTTTTGGCCCGATCTGAAATGTTCAAGCCATCCGTAGAGCAGCCCTTCCTAAGGTATTTTCATTGAGTAACTTTTTTTCAAAAGATCAATTATTCTGATAAGAAAAATTAATAATTAGGGAATGCCCCTACGCGGCGTCAGTTTCCTGGCCATTGAGTAGTCATCTGGCCCTGAAATTTCTACTTAATGCTCGGGAGGATAGCCTCCACAGTCTAAGACAATTTTTGGCCCGATCTGAAATGTTCAAGCCATCCGTAGAGCAGCCCTTCCTAAGGTATTCTCATCGAGTAACTTTTTTTCAAAAACTCAATTATTCTGATTAGTACAATTAATAATTAGGGAATGCCCCTACGCGGCGTCAGTTTCCTGGCCATTGAGTAGTCATCTGGCCCTGAAATTTCTACCTCATGCTCGGGAGGATAATCCCCAAAGTCTAAGACAACTCTTGGCCCGATCTGAAGTTCAAGCCATCCGTGGAAAAACCCTTCCTAAGGCATTCCGATCGAGTAACGTTTTTCAAAAATTCAATATGCTAATTAGTACAATTAATTGGGGAATGCCCCTACGCGGCGTCAATTTTCCTTAGCAAGTGAGTAGTCATCTGGCACTTAAATTTCTACCTTATGCTCAGGAGGATAGCCCCCACAGTCTAAGACAACTTTCGGCCCTATTTGAATTGTTCAAGCCATCCGCAGCACCGCCCTTCCTTAGGACATTCCGATCGAGTAACTTTTTTTCAAAATACAAAATATTCTGATTAGTACAATTAATAATTAGGGAATGCTCCTACGCGGCGTCAGTTTCCTGGCCATTGAGTAGTCATCTGGCCCTGAAATTTCTACCTTATGATCGGGAGGATAATCCCCAAAGTCTAAGACATTTTTTGGCCTGATCTGAATCGTTGAAGTCATCCGTAGAGCAGCCCTTCCTAAGGCATTCCGATCGAGTAACGTTTTTTCAAAAGACAATATGCGAATTAGTACAATTAATTGGGGAATGCCCCTACGCGGCGTCAATTTTCCTTGGAAAGTGAGTAGTCATCTGGCACTTAAATTTCTACCTTATGCTCAGGAGGATAATCCCCAAAGTCTAAGACAACTCTTGGCCCGATCTGAAGTTCAAGCCATCCGTAGAGCAGCCCTTCCTAAGGCATTCTGATCGAGTTTCGTTTTTCAAAATATCAATTATTCTGTTTATTACAGTTAATTAAGAAATGCCCCTTCGCGGCGTCAGTTTCCTGACGAGTGAGTAGTTATCTTGCCCTGAAATTTCTACCTCATGCTCGGGAGGAT